CCATAAATAGCACTCTATAAATGGTTTATAATGGAATAAGCTGTCTGCAGCCCTACAATATGAATTACCCTACCCTGTGATGCATAGTTCATTGATTTTCGTTGATTTTCTTGTACTTTTAATTTATATATTTAATTGGTTGGTGATGTTGCACCATGAGCATAACAAATTCCTATGTCTCTGACAAATGGCAATTTGTATGAAAGGAAAAAAAATCAGAACAAAAACAATGGTTTTTCCATCCACTGCTGATTCTTCTGTTACCTCTTTGATTTTTGTGTTGCATTCTTTCTTTCTCCTTTTGCCTCACTTTTACTTTTTGGCTCTCCTGCCCTCCGCCTATAAAAAAATATATCATAATTAAGGATTTGATGTAGCGGGGTGCTTGTTGTATCTTCACTTTGGTTTCGGGTATTGTGATCATGTACAGATTCAAGTGTATGGAATAATGAATTCAACATTTTAAGTAGTAATATTTTCAAAAGTATATGTACATAAATATAGCCGTGTCTTAAATAAATGTCAAAAATATTAAGCGTTTAAGTTGAAATAAAAAGGAGTCGAATGAAGAAGGTAGTGGATGTTACAGCAAATTCATAATTCCTTCTTCTGAAGAACGTATACAGTATTCTATTTATATATGCTAGAGTTTGCAGATCTCCATGTTGTAATAGCATAACTGATGTTTGGTAGTATAATGGTTTTATATAGTTAACGTAATAGGATTTATTTTTTTAAGACACAGATCACCCTAGAAATCTTTGTAGCAATTATATTGAATTGAATGAAAGTGCCCAAACTTTTGCAACCTTTGATTGTTCAATTTTCTTATTATTAATATTTAACTATAGTGAAGATAGATCAACTGGCTCGTTCTTTTATTTGAATAAAACATACCATATACACTGAGGTATAAGGCGACCTGCGTATTAGCTGACTAGCAAGTTTATGAAGATTTTTGTGGACGATTTTTGTATGTCATGCGTATAAGATCATCCCTGTTTCATCGTCGGTACTTTGCTGCTTTTTATAGTCATAATACTGCATCTAGCTGGCTAAAAAAATCGAGCCAAATGCAGGGCCAATCTTCAAAATAATACCATATTATGAAATTTCAAATGTTCATCAAAATCTTATTTCTCTGTATTTACAATTGCGTTCATTCACACTAACATTTAATAGCTTCTAAGCAGTAGCAAATTCGCATGTTACGGATGATCAGCACATACAACAAACAAGATTTTAAGTTATCTAAAATTTGTATGTAATTTCAAAGACTTGATAATTGTTCTTATGACTACAGAACACAGTAGTATAATCTGAAAACATAACGTATTCAATATTTTCACCAACATAACTAATATAATTAATATCAGTGGTCAAAGAAAAGACCCTTGTGGAACTCCACAATATACAAGCTTCTTTTCCGAAGTGTTGCTATTAATGCAAACATATTCTTCTCTATTTTCTAGATAGTCAGCAAACCATTTTAATGGTAGTAAACATCTAATTCCATAGTGTCTAAATTTTTTCTAATAGTATTTGGTGATTGCTTGTATCAACTGCTTTAGTTCAATACTATGTTCAATAGCTGACAATCTTTTCAATAGAGTAGAGAAGGGCATGGTTATTTGAGTAAACTGTAATTACGAAGCACTTAGAACATTGTGCTTTATAGACAGGTAAGATATTGTTTGGCCATTTTCAAAAATTGTGATGGTGAGATTGAGATGGATAGTAACTTATTTGTTCTTTATTCCTATTTTTCAAAATGCATAGTTACCAACCTGCGAGATTTGAAATGCGTGACTACACCAGTTGGCTGGAGGCCGGGGGAGGGGGAACCAGGACCACCATTAGGGTCTAGGGGCGGATCCACGGCGGGGTCAGAGTTTCAGTCACAGTTAACAGTTGGCCGTGGCAATGAACGTGCAACACTGCACGCGCTTCAGATTCTACTAAGGTTAGCTGGGTAGATGGTCGAGAAAGAGAGATTTTGTCGGTTATTTGATTCTTGAATGAGATAACGAAAGTTGTAATGACTCAAGTTACTCCATGACTGTTTTTATATCGTTAATAAAACCAATTTCTTCTAATTTTAAATACATTTTCCACTGAATTCATGATGATTCGTTATCACGCATAGACTTGTACTAAATGCAAATTTATGATCATGTATGTGTTTCTGCAAAATGTGTGTTTTATCCAAAATAACTTTAAAATGCAGGACCTTCCTGCAGGACGCGAGACAGTTGGTAACTATGAAATGGGTATGACTTTTGCGATTTTCATGTCATCTGGGATGAAACCATTTGTTAAAGAGGTATTTATGGCAGTGGTTCCCAACCCTTTTGCATTCGTGGACCCACATGTCTAAATATACACACTGTCCATATCCCAACAATTTTTTTTATGTGTATGGCACTTCTGTGGCCGGAAATTTTCTTTTACTCCCCATTGAATTTTTAATTTTGGTAAAATTTAGGGCAACTCATGTTTGATATTCCACCAATAAGATTATGGATGGAAGACGATTCACCAAATTATGACATCTGGGATCTTGGAATTCGACATAGACAAGAAAAAAAAACCAGTAACTTTTACAGATGGGGAATTACGCTACCTCAGCCCCACCATGTTTATGGCACTTCTAGACGGCCATAAATGACACTGTCAGACTCAAAATTGCAGTGAATATCCTGTTATCCCCCATTTACTTATAAATATCCAGGTAAAAGCAATAAAAGAGAAAATATGGAAACAAGATGTACATTACCTGAGGATCTCCTATACTAAACATATTTACATAAAAAATACATAAAAACTAATTTAAAAGATTCTATCAGATCACCAATAAAATATTAGAATACAAAAATAGTGCCAGTTAAACCAATTTACAGTGAACGAAGTCATGGGTATATCATTATTGTCAAGGCATGATCACACTGTTGTAAGAAAAATAATGGAATCATGAACAAGTTGTTCTAATAATCTAGCAGACCCCCTGTTAACCCCTTTCACTTGGCGGACCCCAGGTTGGGAACCACTGATTTATGGTATGGGTGAGAGGCTTGAGAACTGCCCTTGATGCGACTTTGCGGTAATCTGATCATGTTCAGCTGCAGTAGGTTTAAGTTAAGAATGTGTTCACTGTATAATTCATTCTCATTCAGACGAGACTTTTTTTATACCTTGTTTTGCATACTTAAATTTTTAAAGATTATGATTTTGCCAAAATCATCTAGACGGAGAAGAAAATAAAAATAACATTTTATTGGTCAATGTACAATAGGATGGTTAAATGCTTCAAATTCATATAATTAAGAAGAAATATATCTTATCCTTGGAGGTTTCAAGGCAGTGGAGGGCATAATAAAAAATAAAAAAATAAAGAAAATCTGTTATTTTTTTTCTAAAATTTCCACTTTTTCGTAGCGGTGGGTGCCCTAATTGGCCAAAAATAAAATTATATTTTTATTTTGAAATCATCAATATTTGCAATCGGCGGGTATACAAACAAGGTATAAAAAAAGTCTCGCCTCAGGAACAGGTTTGAAACATAATTTCCTCTTAAAAAGGCAGAGTGATGGTTTCCATAATGCAATTTGATTTATAAATTCATCGACGCTCCCAAAAAAAGAAATAAAAGCATCGGCTTTGTTCTTGATACTTCTGCGACCAGTATTTGAATTTGTTAAAATATTGCACACAGTTGCAGCCTGTTTCCTACCCAATAATTGATTAATGATCTTCCAAGCTTTATATTTTTATTATTTTCAATTTTTTTTATAACAACAATAATAAAAGGAAATCAAATGTAGCTCATGGAGAGAGCACAAAAATACAAAATACTAAAAATTAAAAGACCTACATTATGCAAGAAATACATCAAAATTCTATTATACCTGTCTTGGTTCTGCATTCACCAAACAAGTATTTAATTCGTTTAATCCTCATCCCCTTATATGTCTCATTACACTGAACACATTTTTTAGCTGCAATAAATCTCTCCAGTTTGAGGCAGTCTGTGTTCTTGCAAAATTGACAAGGAATGTAGAAGCCATAACTAATGCGTTTCATCCAGTTGCGGCCTAGGTACTGTAGGTGCTCATCCAAGAGATTCCACAGCTACGAATATAAAGTTATAGACAAATCTGTAATTTATCTCATAATACATGGTTACAAAATTATTGTGAGATTTGAATCTTTGAACATGCATAGATAAGTGAGATAGCATTTTCCACTGGATTGACTTGTGGATATTGGCACATAATTATTACTACCGTAATACTAACTTAATCAGGCATAGTCCAAGGGTAGAAAATCACTGATGTAGCCAAAATCCAAACACAGATAAGCAGGCAACCGACCATTTTATATTATAATCTGACCAAATGTTTGTGATGATTCATCGGCCAGGTACACCTGCACACAATAATAGCACCTTTATATATAACAAGGGTATTTTTTAGCTCCTAATTGTGTAAGTTTAATATCATAAAATAAAACAATTTACACTAACACACATTATTTGATTTTAATATTATTTCCTATGATTTACCAGCTGCTACTATCTAAAAAGGTACTATGTAAAGTAAATTAAAAATTTGCTCCATTATATGTGAGCCTTCAAGTTTGTTGACTTTCCATTCATATTCCTATATTTTTGAGCACTGTATTATTATCTATTTGATTTTATTTATACATTATTGTGTTCCCAGTGCTAAGCACCTTTATTTGAATATACATAATACTACTGTAAAAAACACTGCAAAACAACAATGCTGTGGGAAACAATGTCTGGATCTTGGTAGATACAATGCAACATAAAGGCTTTTTTTATTTGATGATTATTGTGTACAGAATCAAGAATACAGTAGTAAAGCAGTCAGAATTAGATGTGTTTTTGCATTTAAAGAATTTTAAAGACGTTGAAAAATGTGGGATGAATTGTTTATTGATTTCATTAATAAAATAATACAACTATCTAAACAGAAAACTATCGTGCATCATTTTAGATCCTCCTGAAACACAAACACAAGAACCTTATTTCAAGCTACCTTATACATTTTTTTTTTTTCAAAACAGTGAAGGATTACGATTTTGCTATGCTCAGACTTAAATTTGAATATAATTTTCTTTTTTTCTCCATTTTTCATAATTTTGAAAAATTTAGGGGTGGGGAATGAAAACGGCTGGGCCCCTTTGAATCCGCCAGTGTCTGGGCCTAAAAGTCTTCCTAGTACGTCAGTAGGCCTATTTATTAGGTTTGGTTTTTCAACACCAACTATAATTTTTTTTTGTGTAAAAATGAGGGGGTCATGCAGTAGCATGGGGTGGGGATAAAAAAAAAAACTTGCACCCCAGGTTGTCCGACGCTAGCACTAGAAAATTTTCTGACCACAAAAATCTACTCAAGCACTAAGTAGTTTGAAACAATGCCAGTGCCAGAAATTCCCTGATGAGGAGATAATACCCAACAAAGGTGTCTACATTTACCCCAGTGCCACCATGGTTGGTGCTGAGGTGAGCAACTTTTAAAAACAGACACCCTTAGATTCCCGGAAATGGCAGTTCCAGATTGTAAAAATATATTTCAAAGCAGTGTTTCAATAAAATACATCTTCGAGTCTGCTCCCCTAGATCCGCCGCCAATGATTAGACATCGCACCATATCAGCTTCCCCACTTAATTCATTATCCCGAATCAGTCTCCCTTCCCCATGTCTACGCCACTAGATACAATGAGATACTCAGAAAAGGCCATACTCTTGTTAACAGTGCCAGAGTAGGTGGTCATGCTTCTATAAGTACAGAAAATCGGCCAGAAAAATGATATATTTTTTAGCAATGTCATGTGGGCTGGATGAAAATTTTTGGCAGGAAGGAGTTGATCCGCGGGCCGTGGGTTGAATGCCGGCGGTCGTAGTGAATAATATTCAAAGCAAGTTACTGCATAGCACCATAAACAATATAAACAAATAGATAAATAACAACAGTGATGATGATTTATGTGAGGAGTTTTTACTTTCCAATCTCCAGCAATAAGACACAGGGAAGGTTTGGGATGTTAAAATTATGAACACTGCAACTTACCGAAGTGGGACTTCACTGTTAAATTGGGTATTAGTTGCACAGGTATTAGCAAACATGATTCAAAAGGCAAAGTATGTCCGGAAAGTTTGGAACATTAGTTACCATTAAGTTAGGAGCATTTCCTTTACACAAAAAGTTTGTTTGTCCAATTAACTTAAAAGTGCTACTTAAATGGTACTGAATTAACAATACAATAAAAATTGTTTCAGTCCATCATGTATGTAAAACGCAGGAGAGCACTAAATTGCTCTCCTCAAATTACTAAGGAGAGCAATTGCTCTCCTTAAAAATTTCACAGCTTTGAATAGATGCCCCCACCCCCAGGAGTGGATCCAGGTGTCCAAATTAGGGGGGCGGGCGGGCGATCGAGAGACAACACTACCCTAGGGGGATCCAGTATGCCCCGGGAAAATTTGTTTTCTAGACGCACTGAAATTACTTCTGAGGCATTTCAGGCAATCAATAATCGAGGGAAAACCGGCCTCCCCTTCCTCCCCGCAAATCCTCCCCTGCCTCTCACTCCAGAGCCTCATTTAGAATAAACCCTTTCGAAGCAGCACCTGGAGGACGCAGAATATCGTATTTTTTTTGGCGTCACCTGTGTATAACCACACCTATTTTAATCTCCAAACTGTTTCCAAAGTTTTTATCTATTTTGAAACATTCATTATATTTGCAAACATAAAAATTAAGAAAGTTCAACTTTATCGGCCGATTATTAAACAACAAACAACTGGTAATACTTGTATTCTCTAGGAAAACTTTCATCAAAACAACGTATTACCTAGGAAAATCAACATTTTTTCGCGTAAACATCTGTATATTTTCTGCGTTAAATATTCGACCGTGTGGGTTTTAACAATCATTTTATTCAAATTTAAATATTAATTTAATATACTAAAATATAGTGAGCATATTTATTTATCTATAATTCAATCAATAATAAAAGCCAATATTGACTAAAAAATATTCAAGGTCTAACTTGCCATTATTACTACTCAGTGCTCACGACCTGCTACTCTAGCAAATCACGCAACAATGTTGATCACACACACGTAAACAGAACCCAGAACCATGTGATACAAAGTTCACGCATGGGCAGATAACGTATGCCATTTTACAGTTAAATTACAATAAAAGTAAGTATTACAACTTAAAGAAAACTTATGTTTTATAGCACACATATTTTCACAAGTTTTTATTCTGAAATTATAACAGTGAACACTGCATAGCGGTATCATTCTTCCTATAACCTTACTAGCCTTCCAGCAACAAGACGCTGTGCAGCGAGTTTACAACCATGTGCGTTTTGTGACGATGTTCGTGAAGCTACAAACGTGACTTCGAGGAAAAAAGTGTTTGATAATGTTTTTAGCGAAGTGGGTTCAAACACGTGCAATGTTTTAGAAACATTGTTTATAAATGAACGTAATGTGAAAATATTTATTTAAGCAACCCAAACCATTGCTTAAATGTCGTAGGAATCCTTGTCGCACTGTAGTGTAATTACAATACTTGGCCAGTAAACCTAGGCTAATTAATTGGGATAGCCTGGGTTTAACCGGACGATTTTTGCCTTTGCGGTTCGCGATCTAGAGTTTTTTATTAGCAGGTTGATGACCGGTGTATAGGCTGCACCCTGAATTTCGTGGTGGAAATCACGTATAAAATTTGTGGCTTTATACACTGGAATATATTGTAGCTTTAGTTGCAAAATTCGATAGATTTTGATTATGGACAAAGTTTCAAAATATAATTTTTGTCATTAATTTTTGTTTTAGTTGCCTGGTAAATTAAGGAGCATGATTAGTTGCTCTCCTGAAAGCATGTTCAGGAGTGCGGAGAAGAGAGATCGCTCTCGCTCTCCTTAAAAAATGATGGACTGTTGTTTATTAGACATGAGTCATCACGAAAATGTTACTAATGTTAGTAAAGACACAAAGCCCGGATTGAAGATGTCAGGAATAGATACAAGCATTTTTAAACTCTGTTTTAATCTTTATATTCATAATGATATTGTAAAGATTTACAATGATAACAAACTACTGGATCTCAATCTAAGAATAGTCAAAAAAGAACGACCAATAAAAAAGATAATTATTACTCTATTAATAATCAACCTATAACTTTTTGAGTACTGTTTAAATTTTTTAATTGATTTACAGTTCCTTTACAGATCATGTAATATTTTTAAAAAACAAGAGCACAATCCTAGTTTTAAACACGTGAATGTATGGATAAATTTTACTCCTCAAATCTGTTTCATCTCATTAATTCACAAACTGATTTTCTTAAGTTGCAAATAGTAGGTTTGCTAAATAATTGTACACTTAATAATAGTATATAAATACACACATTTTTAATAGTAAAAATATTAACATTCAGTAAATGATTGAAATTTGCATTAAAATATTAATAAACAAACAAGTAGTAATGGGTATTAACCAACCAAAATCAAATATAAAAGAGGTAAATTTGGTGTCCAAATGGGGAAAGCAGACAAAAACCATCCAGACAATAACCACCTACTGTACTGTAAAGCCAGTTAAAAACGAGCCCACCCAACATTGTGCACCCCACAGTGCACCCTACTTTAACAATGGTATATTCCATTTTGGGTGGTTTTCGTGCCGGGGTGGTTATTGTCCTTAAGATAATTCAACACTCACCATCTTGCAAGTGGCTGGGTCAAGTTCAACATCATCCTCTTCATCTTCTTCATCACTACCACTTTCAACTGTAGTAAGCTTAATTGTTACCTGGGTCACAAAATTATAATACAATTTGCTTAGATAAATCATTCCTTAACACATGTAAATAAATTGTTTAAACATGATAACCGAACAAAGGTGGTAGATGTGATTTGCAAATAAAATCAAGAATTGGAATGGTGAAAGCAACATAAAAAATGAACAGAAAATAAAAAAAAAAGAAATTTATTAACACTGTTGTATGGAGTCATTAATAACATTAACATATGGGTCAAAGATGGTGGACAATGTGGAAAAACGAAATAGGTATAATTGTAAGCATTTAAAATTTAGATATGGAGAAGATAAGTTGGAAACAGAAGAAGGGGATTGGACATATGTGTTGAGAGGAAATAAACTGTTAAAATAAAGAATTTAGAAAAGGATAGATTGAAAGCGCTCTCAAGGAAGAATGTGAGTGTTGATGTTAAATGACATGAAAGAAAAATAGCGCGACAGGAATGTGGAATAGACGGCCCTGGAAGGGCTGGTTTTTTGGAGCTGGTTTTTGATTTGACAGACCCTAGCTACAGGCCCAAGCTACCCTTAAAATGTATATACTGTATTATTAAAGAACCTCTATTGAGATCCAGCAGGCTGCCATTGATGCACAGTAGAGATGCGTCTTTAGATCTCTGATCTTGTTCACAAATTCACGGAATAGCACTGTCTCCTAAGAATTTCGTAGGACACCTGGGCTGTGTATATATATTGCCTTGGTTTGGTTCTGTAATCATTAGTGGTCGTGGGACTAGTTTGGGTCCTACCTAAGCTGGTCGAACGTTCTGTTTGGGTCTGTACCCTAGCTGCACTGATGAGGCCTGGAAGGCCGAAACGGATCCGTCTGCAGATATTGGGATTTCTTCCAGTGGATGCTTAGTATATTTTGTCATTCTGATCCGACTTTCTCTACTCTTCCGTTTTAATTTTATATTATATAATATATATATATATATATACATAAATCATCAAAGAAAGGTAAATACAGTGTTCGAATAAAGGACATAATACATCGTGTAGCATCTTTCCTATTCTGTGACCATTGCACAAGCCTCACAACAAGTCGGTAGAATATGCCTTCAGGTAGGAACCCATCGAAGTCAATGTACAGGATGACCATTGACTGAGATGCCACCGGCTGATCTTTGCACACCGTTTCATCATCTTGCTTCTTTAGCAGGGATGGTACATAAAAGAGCCGGATGCCTTCCTCGGTTGATTGGACAACATCAGCTGGCATCTAACAGAATATACAATTAAAAGTTCATTAAAACACAACATTAAATCAAAGCATACAATGAGAGTAATGACATTAGTTCCTGGATAGCAGTGTAAGTGTAGTCCAAAATAAATACATTAAACTGAATGGAAAAGTCTTTTATAGTTGTGCTGGGTTGGATCCAGAGATGTCCGAAAGAGAGAGGGGGGGAGCCCAAAAGTAGGGCTGATGCCCCTGCGAAATGTATGTTTTCTGGACAACCAAATATAACCTCTGAGGCATTTTGGGCGATCAATTTTTTCTTCTTCTTTCTTTTTCTTTTTTTTCCCTTTTACACTTTCCAAAAGGGGGAACGAGGGCCAGGCCACCTTCCCCCCCCCCAAATGATCCAACTCCCCCCTAAATCCTCCCCTGCTGTGTACCGTTATTATTTTGGAAGAGGGGTTTAATTTGCCGGTCCCATATGCACAGTAACTGTACATTTATCAAAAATAAAATATGAAATTGACATGTATTAATATGTATCTGTACCTCATGAGATTGAGTATTCAAACACAGCAAGTCAAACTTCTGCATTAGCTTTAACAAGAATTCAAACAGGTCGAGAAATTCATGCCACATGTGTCTGAGTAGCCTTTCTTCCAAGATTCCATGATCATCAAGTCTTTCCAATGAACTTTCGAAATGGGAATACTTAGTAAACAAACAAAATATATTTTTGTGAAAACTATATTTGTACCAGAGTAGTACTGGTGGTCGTGGTAGTGATGATACTGTTTATAATAATATTAATTTAATAATAATATTGGCACAGCAGTTGTGTATTGGTTTCTAAAACTTAAGGTCAGAGGTTTGAACATTTGTTGTAGGGAAAATGGCTTATTATTTATGATTAATTAGTTGATTTATCTCAGAATGCTACTTTGAAGTAAATTATGAATTATAAATAATTAATACAGATAATAATAATAATAATAATAATAATAATAATAATAATAATAATAATAGTTTGAATGAAAAAATAGAATATAATCAATGTCTCATGATACACTCAGCTACGGCAATCAAAATATATTGTACCAGTTCACCATGTTTTGAGAAATGACCATTGAAATGTTTATAATCATATCAAATAAATTTATATAATGAAATGCTTTTTGAAAAAGATGAAACTAATGTTCCTAAATATAATAATATTTAGTAATAACAACAATAATTAAAAAAACATTTTAATATAACATATAATCATATTTTCTACATTTTTGACTAGCTCTAAATACACAATACAATAGATAATGTATAAAAATGCTCATACTTTGTTAGAGGAAACATTGACTGTAAACACTTTGCTGAAGACCAATATCAACCACTGCGGATTCAGTATGATTATATCATTGAGGAGGCTCTCTGGTGTATCAAGTTTACCATAATAGACAATGTTTCCAAGGTCATGATATAAATGCAATGAAGCAAACACAAGTTCTCTTTTGATGATACCACTATTCGCAGCTAGATCTTTTACCTAAAATTGACAAATTTACATAAATATATAATTGTAAGGAATCTAATGGATTCGAATGAAGATTTTTTATCACATAAAGTGTACCATACCAACTTTGTACCATAAGCTTTGCTAAGATACATACTCTAAGGCCAAAAAAAAAAATGGCCAAAAAAATTTTTGTTTGCCCTCCCCACCTGCCCCTAACTCACTGGAAAAAATAGGGGCGGAAAGACAAAAAGAAAAGTGAAACAAATTGAAATGCTTATAAACATTAATAGGCCTATATAATTTGCAAATAGATTAATTAACATCTACACATTACTAATGCACCCTCCCAGTTCATATAAATATCATGATGCATAACTAACCTGGCAACTATATAATTAATTAATACTGTACTTGCCTCTGCGAAGTTAATTTGGTTTTTGCCCAACTGCTCAATCTCATGCCAAAAGTGAAGCCACTTTATGGGGAATCTGTGCTCCAAGTATTTCTCTAGCTTAGTAACCTTGGTGATGTGGTCCCTTAGATTAACAATAGCTTCATCCAGGGGTGCCCTAAGGCTGTTGTCAATTGCATAGTACTTTTTCACTACATGGCCCCGGTATAGTTTTCCTCTTAATGCCTCCCTAATTACTGCAAACTTCTCTTTTGCCTGGAAAACAGAATAGAGATGGAAGAAAATGATACAGCATGCAAATATGCCAGCCAGCAGTACTGTACATAAAAAAGAACAACACTATACTATGTGTGTGTCAGTGGTGGCGTCAGCTGGGGGGGGGGGGGATTTGCCCACCCGTCGGACAGGCCCGGACACCTCTGTCGTCCAATGCAAGACTAGGTCGTCTGACCAAAAATGTAAAAAGTAATAATTTGCCTATCAAAATAACAATCAAAATAACATTGTTTTGACTGCCAATCCCTAATATTGTGGTCTAAAACCACATTTGAACCACACTAAGTCATAAAAACTCTCCCTATGGACCATAAAAGGGAGATTTTGATTCCAGGCCGTCGACCGAGACTTTGTCTGCAATTGGCTCTGACCCTCTGTTGGCAAATTTCTGGTGCCACAGCTGGTGTGTGCCCTGATTATCAGCACAGCTGAAATGGCTATATACTAACATTATTAATTAAATGAGGCTTAAATATTATGTTGTAGTTGTTTTACATGTTGTGTCTTCACCGCTGTCTTTCTACCTTCTAGCAAGATTACGTAAAAACTAATGAATGGAGCATCATGACCAGGGGAGTGCCAGATATTTGCCGACGAGGGGTCCAACGGAGGAGTCAGATGGAAAATGCCCACCCTGCCCCTCCCCCAACCCATCCTCGCTGGCGCCACTGGTGATCATAACACTCAGTGAAATTGTACATAATTATTCAACAAAAGAGATTTTTAATCCTAGCATAAAAGAAAATAGCACCATGGACTGCCTGCGTATTGTTGTTTCAATGCAAATTATAATCAGAATTATTCATTCATTCTGATGGTATACTTTATTTAAAATTTCACCAACATGCAAATAAAAACAATACAAAGATTCACAGATTTTCTGTTGTGATTTACTATACAGGTATAGTACTGTGTTAATATACAAAATGTGGAATTTCGAAAGGGCATGCCATGCAGTATAAAATTGCTCAGGTTAGAGCAGCCATCACCAAATTTATAGGGAACCTTCTTAAATAATGTTAGAGATATTATGATGTGTAAGCTTCCTTATAAGTTTGGCGATGGGCGCTCTAGATGCATTATGATGTAATGGCCCTGTCACATAGTAGCGAATAGAGCTAACGTATATTTCTAGCATACTGATTTCTTTACTCAAAATGACATGCTCAATAACACTCAAATTATTGGCAATAAATGAACATCCTTACGCATAAGACGAACACCCAACAAATAAGGAATTAATGCTGATTGTACAACTAGCGTCCATATTAATGAATGACAGCGCATTATTAGTGTCCGCCCAACAAATGTTGAGCTTACATAACAAATGTTCGTCAAGCACATTATATGGACGCCTTGTGAAATTTGATATAGTTCGGTATACTTTATGTATTCGTTGGTCATTCGTTACCGATTTGTTAGACGAACACTATGCATACGTTATACATTCACTATAGCCAAGTTTCAGATGGGTTTGACGTATTTGGACGAACAACGAACGGATAGAAAACGTCAACCCAACATGCCAAACGTTCAAACAGCGAGTGCTCCCCGTATACATAGTGTATTAAGCACAACATTGTAACACGTTCAAAATTTTGAACATGTCCAAAATTTAAAATTTAACCCACCGTACCTCTGCAAACCCTAGCAAACGGATAAAACGTACTTCAAACGTGTCGCAAACAAATGTCAACCTACGCGAACGTAAACCAAAATTTCCATAAACATCGGCATACGTTCACTCTATTCGCTACAGTGTGACAGGGGCTTTAGAAGAAAAAATATATTAATATATTTTATATTTAACTTTAAACTTCATAATCTATAAATTTTTATGGTTGATTTGAGGAGTTAGCATTTATTACTGAAGTTATAGAGCTATTTAAAATGACACTAAAACCAACTCAATACTATACTTACTGAGATACAGTCAATAAAACGCGTAAGGTATCACTGAGTAGCTCAAATTTGTTAGCACGCAACTCACTAATTAGGAGGTCTGGAGCTAACATTTTTCATTTCTAATATAATAGGGTGAATTTAAATTTTGCAGAGATTATGACCTCTGTTAGCAGATACAAAAGAAATAAAGTTCCGTTAAATTTAATAAATCTTTTGAGGGCTTTCTATACTTTAAAGAAATGTGTTTAAACAAGTTAATATCACAGAGCATATAATTAATTGTGCTTGGTGTGCAACTGGATTTAAAACATTTGTGTACCCACAGAGGTCACTAGTCTTCTACCACTGATTATTTTATTACCTGCATTTTTACATAATCCAAGGATTGCTTTTCTATGCACATCAGGCTGTTTAGGATGTTTCATCTTAATAACGGTTCATCATTAACGCAACCAAAAGAGGTATCGGTGAATCTATTTAAATCATTTGTTGATTCCAAATAAAGGCCCGGTCCTACCATTTAAGTTACCAGCAATAAGAAAACAGCCTAGCTTAGTGGAGCGGCTTAATTAAGTTTCAGGGACTGTAAAAATATCTTCGCTTTGGTGTATGTAAGTCATTATTGTTACCCTGGAGGGAAGAGAAAATCACCCCTTGTTTTATCTAAGTTGGTACACCATGACACATGTTGTACACAGGCTAAAAGCTAAAATATCTCTTCCAGAATAAAGTGTACTATAACTTGTATTTTATAGGAAAATCAGCTTTCAATAAAACCAGGAAACAAGACCGCCATAGAACGCACACAATTTTAACCAACGGTGCCATTTCTGCCATATATGCTCAGTAAAGGTTCATATTATCACATCTGGGTTAATTTAAGAAAAAAGAACATTAATAAGTCTACAAAATCGTTACTAAAACAAGAAATTTTTCTTATGCATTGCTCTACAAGATATAAGTTTTAGAGCAACAGACAAATGCTGTACAACAACTCAAACATATGCAAGTTCCCACTTCAGTAATTTTGAAAATGTGGTCTACTCACAAGTTCATTTTTCTGTTCTTCATTTCCTGGTAGCTTATCTTTGTGAGTGCCGACAATAAACACTGGTGGTGATAATTGCTCCTGTTCCCAAACCTTTGGGTTTTCAGTCGTATGTGAGTAGATCGACAGCAACCAAAAAATGATGAACTCCAGGTATGTCATACGACATTCAAAAGATGAAACCTGTAAGTATAAAATAAGCAAGCTAAAGATTGTTGATTGTTGCTCAAACAGACTCATAAATTATGGTAATATATAGGGATAAACTGTAACCATCTTGCGGCAGGGATGTCGTTATGCAGGGCGGAGGTGGGTGGCGCCGCCCAGTCTTGACGTCTTGCGCCCATCCTAAAGCTATTTTTAAGGCCTTCCGCCCAGCCTCATACAAATTCTCCCGTCCACCCGTAAAATCATGAAAAAACACAAGATTTTGCTCAATAACCCGTATATTCCCTTATATAAGTCGCAAATTTTATACGCAATTTACCGCCCGAAGTTTGGGGTGCGGTCTATACACCGGTCGTTAACCTACTCCCAAAAAGCTCAGATCGCGAGCCACAGCGAAAATCAGGCGCCGTCTGTCTAGCTTGGGCCCATTCTAGCCCAATTAATTAGCCTAGGTTTTGAAGGCCTAATATTTGTAATACTCACTACAGTGCTGTACTAGGATTCCTACTACATTTTCTATGACATTCAAGCAATGGTTTGGGTTGTTTAAATAATTATTTTCATAATTACGTTCACTCATAAATAATTTTGAAACACGCTGTTTCTATTCAAAATCACTTTGTATCGCTCAAAACAATAAACAAAATACTTTTCGTGAGTGTGGTCCTCGAGGTCACGCGCTTCCATTTACGATGTCAAAACAAAACATGTGGGCTGGTGAAACTTGCTGTTCGACGTCTGGTTCCTGGTGGCTTGTACCGTTATAAGGAAGAATAATGATACCGCTATTTCAGAATAAAAGCTTGTAAAATTAATTTATGCTATAAAAACACGAGTTTTCTTGAAGTTGTAATAATTATTTTACTGGAAATT